AGAAGGGGCGGTTAACTTCTGTTGTGGGTAACCTGGCTAGTTTTGCAGCCAAGGGAGAGAAAAAGAGAGAGGGGGAGGGGGGGGGAGACAGAGGCTGATAGGTTCTGGTGAGGGAAACCTGGTTGGTTTTGCAGCCAGGGCAGAGAGAGAAAGAGAGAGAGGGGGAAAGAGGGCAATTTGAGAGAAATATAAGGAATGGGCAGCGATTTTTGGTTAACCAAGAGAGAGGGAGAGTGAAAGAGGGCAAGGAGAGAGAGAGTAAGAGAGAGAGAGAGAGAGAAAGAAAGGTGAAGGTGTACGGGGCTGGGATACATTAGTTTCGTATAGGAAACAAGAATGTCAGGGCATTGGAAGAGGGAAAAGTATGGATTATGTGCATTCCTAAGATATAGGTCGGATCAATGGCCACTTATTATTTTTCGCTAGTAAAATCTCTAATTGGTCATTAAAAAAGAGATACTACATTGGGGATAGAAAGAGAATAAATGAGAGGATAGAGAGTTTGTGGAGTGAGGAGAGAGAATAAAATTCCTATGCATATCTAATTAATGCTCCATAATTATTATGTATGAAGATGATAATTCAAATAAAAACTAGTTGTGTTTCCTTTAACTCTTCTTAAAATAAACATAACTAATAAATATTACGTTGATAAGGAACCCTTGTAGCACTTCCTTATTAGCATGTATACCTTCTTTCTAAATTTGTAGGTATTTTTATATCCTTTACATTGGATTTGGTGCTATTTAAAATCATCTACATTAGAAAATCCCATATTATGTGGGATTAAGATATTTCCATATTATGTGAGATTGAGATATTTCCTTTATTATGTAAGATTTATATTGATATTTGATAAGTTTCCTAAAGGAAATATAAATCCAAAAAGGATTAGAACTTTTGGATATATCTCTTAGTCTTTTGAGATATATGTAACATCAATAGGAAGTTTTTTATTTAGTATGGACTCCTAATCTTATATATATGGGATGAAAGTGATAAAATCTGTGTGCCCAATTTAGGTCACTATATGAGAATGGTGGTTCCTTTAGAGAGAGGGAGATAGCGTTTCATGTGGTAAGATGCAATTTTCTCTTAGAGAGAAGAGAGCTTTGTATGAAGAGAAACATTGATGATGCCTCCTGAAAACTCCTGCAGAGTGAGATGTTGATTTTTTATAGAGAAGCAGTTCCCATGGAGATTTTGAGTTGTTTCCCCTTTTAATAAGATAACGTATCGTTTCCTCTCAAAGTTGTTCTCTTCCTAGACAGTGGTCTAGTTGTAAAATAGAGATGAGAGAATCAACATGATGTTGTTTGGGAGAGAAGGTTTAAATGGGTTTCCTCGATTGTATTTTTATCGAGGTTTGTTTCCAAATCTTTCATGTAACTTTTATTGGTATAGTGGATTTCTTTTTGTTGTACCCGTGGATGTAACCCTCTTGGGTGAACTATGTAAATCTTTGTGTTCTTATGGTGTGTATTTCATATTTTATTCCTCGTACTTTATTTGCCAAATTTTAACCCATCGAGTTTAGAGCTTCTATGCACAAGTGGTATCAGAGCACAACAACTGGTATTAGAGCCCTGGTTTGGAGTTTTCAGTATGGCGGTAAAAATTTCGAATGCATGGTTTGAGGTGGAGAAATTTGATGACAATCACTATTTTTCAGCAAGAATGATGAAGAAATTTATTTGGCAAAGGATGAAAAATCCATAAAGCTATCCAATGGATGTTGGCATGGCGAGCAGCTGATTTTGATATCAAGGTAGAGATTGTTGGACTTGGTGCTATCGTAAATCACCCACATTAGAAAATCCCATATCATGTGGGATTAAGATATTTCCATATTTTATAGGATTGAGATATTTCCTTTATTATGTTAGATTGATATTGATATTTGATAAGTTTCCTAAAGGAAATATAAATTCAAAAAGAATTAGGACTCTTGGATATATCTCTTAATCTTTTGAGATAGATGTAACATCAGTAGGAAGTTTCCTATTTAGTTTGGACTCCAAATCTTATATATCTGGGATGAAAGTACAGAAAATTTGTGTACCCTGTTTGGATCACCATATGGGAATGGTGGTTCCTCTAGAGAGAGTGGGAGATAAAACCTCCTATACATAAGATGCAATTTCCTCTTAAAGAGAAGAGAGTTTCCTATGAAGAGAAACATCGATGATACCTTCTGAAGACTCTTGTAGAGTGAGATGTTGGTTTCTTGTAGAGAAGTGGTTCCCATGAAAATTTTGGATTGTTTCCACTTTTAGTGAGATAAAATCTCATTTTCTCTCAAAGTTGTACTCTTCCTAGACTCTAGTCTAGTTATGGAATAGAGATGAGAGACTCGACATGGTGTTACTTGGGAGAGCAGGTTCAAAAAGGTTTGCTCGACTGTGTTTTTGTCCAGGTTTATTTCAAAATCTTTGATGTAACTTTCATTGCTATAATGGATTTATGTTTGTCGTGCCAGTGGATGTAGCCCTCTTGGATGAACCACGTAAATCTTTATGTTCTTGTGGTGTGTATTTTATGTTTTATTTATTGTACTTTATTTGCTAAAAATCAACTCATCAAGTTTAGATCTTCCGCGCACAACACTTTCTTCTCCACTTACTCTCTCTCACACATCTTTTTCTTCTCCACATACTCTCTCTCTCGCTCTCACGTCTCTCTCCCTACTTTAAAGATAGGGATTAGGCACCCTAGGATTTTTTAATTTAGAATTTATGTGCCCTACACATACTCTAGAATTAGGGTCCCTTCTTATTTTTGTGACAAGTGTCAACACCTTAACTATTGCTTAATAATGTAGTATAGATATATATAGTTGGATTACGTGTGTTACACATAAGAATGAAACATGGAAATACATAAAATAAAATTTTTATAATTTAGAAGTCCCTAAGTGAAAGCATAAAAATTGATCTTAAA